GTATACTGGGATATTTATTTGGACAAAACTTCTAGGTCACTAATTTTTTTTTCAGCTGTTGTCTAATTATTTTAACCCACTGAAAAATTTTTAAATTGAGTTTATTCAACACTTTTCTAGAAGTTTTATTTTTCCAAATCTGCCGATCTTTCCCAAAAAGTCTTTTATTACTTCTACTGCAGTGCCGGGGCAGGAGTAGGGGTAGGGTGGCAACCTACATTTGTTATTCATTGTTTCTGCTGATATTCATTGTAAATTGCTTTCTTATGTGATTCATCTTTGATCATGAGCTAATTTCTTGACCTTAATTTGCTCTCCCCAAAGGTTCCCATCCAAGGATGGGATGTTTAGTCACTTCCATGCATGCCTCTCAATGCACCATGAGTAAGAGAACAAATAAGAACTCAGGCCTGGGGCTTATATAGATAAGTCAGAGGGGCGTATGTACTAGACTGCATGGAAGCAAGAGAAAGGAGGATAAGAGGAGAGTTTCTTTGTTTAGGTGCAGGAAGCATAACCATCCTGTGACTGGGAAGGTGCCTTTGTTCAGGAGCAAATAGCATGGTCATCCTGTGACCAGCTTTCTCCTAGCCACAAGATTAATTCTGTACAATTAAGTAGTTATAGATAGTCGTGGAGACAGAGAAAGTTACTGGGGGCTCAGGACAGGGAAAGTCTTCTCTGACAAGAAAAAACTGGGAGACAGTGTGAAACCCAATTCTCAGCCTCCTTATCAGAGAATGCTCTGAGCCCAAGGCCTCAGTTCAGGCGGCTTGGATGGAAACCATAAAAACAGATTGCCCTCCCAGCATCCTGCTTCTGTTTATAGCCAGCTTGGAACCTCTTTAGCTTCTTGAATAACTTCCTTCAACTTTCCCACCTCACCACTGGCCCATGGCACAATCAGCCTGATAAGACAACTCCAAGCATGTGACCTCAAGGAAGCCCCACCATCTCAGTTGCTCACGTCCCTGATCCCAACTAATTTTGGGGTGGGAGGGGGCCTTGAGAAAACTCCCCTGCCTCTTGAGACCAGCAATGCCTCAAAAAATGGATCCCACAAAGGATATATTCATAACACTGGAAACAAAATTGGTAGATAGCTTAATTCTAATCTGATCCCAATCAAAATTCCAGTGGTGTTTAATTTCATTCAACTTTTACAAATTAGATAAAGTGGTTATAAATTTCTTATGGAATAACAGTGGTTCAGTAAGTAAACTATGATAGCATAATTGACAATTCATTTGAAAGAAAAGAAAATTGGACCCCTACCTCACACCATAAACAAATATCTTTAATCCACCTTGAAATTAAGTATAAATTAAATATATCTAGATTTTAAGTATAAAAAATGTTTAAGAGTATTTTATTATTTTGATGTGGGAGAAAAATTCTTAAGGAAGGAAAATTCTTAAGGAAGGCAGAATATACAGAAACCATAAAAGAAAAGCCAGACATATGACTACATAAAATTTAAAATTTTAATGGAAAAAACACAATAATCCTCAAAAGACAAACAATAGATTGTGAAAAAGTCTTTGCAAAATAAAGGGTCATATCCATTTTTTAAAAAAAGGAAAGAGTCTACACATCGATAAGAAAAACATAACCCAAAGAGAAGACAACTAAAGGATATTAATGAACAAGCAAGTCACATGGTGAACAAATATAAAATTATAAATCCCACTTGTAATCTGAGAAATGAAAATTAAGAAACAAGTTATATATTATTTTCATTCAGATTAACAAAAAATACCAGGGCAATAACACCCAATGCTGGTGAGGATATGGGAAAGCGATACTCTGAAACCTTTATTGGAACAGTCACCTGGCATCATCCATTAAAATAAAAATTACTCCCTTTGACTATATTTCTGACCCAACAATCTCATTTTAGGAAGTCTACCCTTTATAAACAGAAGCAGGCTATATAAACAGATGTTTACTTCAGCATTTATTTATAGTAGAAAAACACTGCAATCAACTGAATCAATAGTGGAGTATCTATATAAATTATGATATAGCTATACTAAGGAATGTCGTTCAGTGTTTAAAAAAAGAATGAGTTAAATCTATAGGTCTAATGACTTAGACTCAAGATCCAATAAGAAAAACCATTTGCAGAGTAACATGTATAAATGATTATATTTTTATAAAAAACAGCCCCTCTACATGTCCCCGTTTGGATGAACATAAAGACAGAAAAAATGCACAAGCTTTGATTCCTTCAGTAATTGGGAGCTGAGGTGGAGAAACTTAAAAAAAAAACTTTAAATTCTATCTTTAAATCATATCTAAAAGCTGTATAATTTAAAAAATAAGAAAATATTACAAAATTCATAATTAGATAATAATATTCATGTATAAATGACTTTTAATGATATTTACACTGAAAAATTGGCTTCAACTGTTGACATCTATATAATTATGTACAAATTAATAAATTAGTGACAAATGGAGACAATATTTGTAACATAAAAAATTAACATCCAGAATATATAAAGAACTATAAGAAAAAGAAACAAGAATTCCTATAAAGAGTGAATATACTAAACCTCACTAAATTTTGTACTTTAAAAGGATGAATTTTATGATATGTAAATAATGTCTTAATAACAAAAAAAGAATTCCTATAAGGAAAAAAATTAAAAATAAGCCAAAGAAATGAGGAGCCAATTTACAGAAGAAAAACACATTTCCTTCTAATTCATCTTCCAGGGTTTCGTTAGAGCAGCGGTTCTCAAACTTTAGTGTGTATTAGACTCACCTGTAGGGCTTGTTCAACTATAGATTGCTGGACTCCACTGCCAGAGTTTCTGGTTTAGCAAGACTGAATTTAGAATTTGTATTTCTATAAAGTTCCCAAGTAATGCTGATGCTGCCTGTCTAGGGACCAAACTTAGATAACAACTTAGAACAAAATGATGAAAGAAACAAGCAAAAATTTTGACTATAAATGAGATCTTGTCAATGACTGATCATGAATATCAGAACACACAACAGAAAGGCTTTAGGAGTTGGAGAAGGGTGAAAGATGGTGTCAGAAAAGGGATCCTCACAAAACCAAGCTTTAGTTCAAGGCAAATAAGTTATACCCAATCTTTTATGCATGAAATTAATAAAAGTTAATTCCATGCAGGAAGTTAAGAGAAACCAAACAATTCGTTACCTAAAAAAATGTAAAATATAGGAGGTATCATTTATCAATCAACAATTTTCTCTGCTAAAATAACTTCAACCAACCTACGAAAAGTTTGTTGGTTACCTAGAATGTGCCAGGCCCTTTATGGACTGCAAAAAGGTTAGAGTAAAGTTATTTAAACTAAGCACAGTAACCATAAAGGTAAGCATAACACAGCTCTCTATAAGGGCTGCTCCAAATGTGTACGGGAAAACCTCAAGTATACAATTATTCTTCAGTGTAAAAAGATATATTAATTAAGTTGAACTTTGTTTTTTAGATGTGTCTAAAGTTCACTGAATTATCAGTTTTATTAGTTATTTAAAGGCAGTTGAGAGATTTAATATATACTGTGTGTTTGACAGAAACCCTGGTGGCTTAGTGGTTAAGAGCTACAGCTGCTAACCAATAGGGCGGCAGTTCGAATCTACCAGGTGCTCCTTGGAAACTGTATGGGGCAATTCTACTCTGTCCTGTAGGGTTGCTTTGAGTAGGAATCGACTTAATGGCAACTTTTTTTTTGGTTTGTGTTTGACAGATGTAAGTTCTTATTTAGTATTTTCATTCTTTCTCTTCAAAATCCTAAAAGTATTACATAATTAATATTAAAAACAACCAGAATATACTGAGAAGCCTAAAGAAAATGAAATATAATCCAATCACCTAGAGGTAACCACTATGTATCCCTGATGTATCTTTATATATTTATATATGATATAGAAATATATGATCACTTAGGAAAAAAGCATATAATGCATACTGTTTAATACATACTGATTTCTTCATTAAAACATATATATAGGTGAAGAGGAAGAACTATTTACTTCTGGTTATGTTTCATGGTAACAACACCATTTAGCCACTAGTTCATTATGTTTTTAAAATGGCTGATACTTTAAAGATATTTCAGAATTTATCATATTGATTATAAAAATAAATGAAGCCAAGGAAATTCTCTCTCTCTTCCTATATGTACACATATATACACACATACTTTTTAGACGGTATCAGAATAGTGTCTGAATCATTTGTTACATCTCAAGATTTCAAAATTTAAAAATACACACATCTGATATATACATAATTTTAACTGGAGAATAACAAAACAAAAAACATTTTACAGAATATTTAAATGAAAAAAGATGTACCATAGTAAAAAAATGTAAACATTCATTGCTATCACATATGTATAGGAAGAAATGTCTTATAATCTTCTATAGAAACTTACCTATAATATTTACTGTCAGTTATTTTGCCTTAAATTCAGTATCTTTCAAACCATAAGTAATATTTTATTTAACCTAAATTTGAATATAAATTTTAAATATATAGCTAGCAGAGAATCTTATGTAACTTGACACTCAAGGAATCCAAGTATTATTTGTTAGAGGATCTAAGTATTATGGAAGGCAGACAAATACTTGATTCAAAAACTCAACAGGAACTAAGTCTTTCATTGTTTTTGACACATTTGTTCATATTCTTCATTTTTAAACAAGTGGGGACTATCTTTTTTGGATTTTCATTGCTTAGAACAAGGTCTATAATACATAGACAATTATTTACAGAATAAATAACATCTGGGAATTTATTCAATATTTTGGGATCCAAATTATAAAACGTCCTATAAATTACGTCATTTAAAAAATGAACATATAGCTATTAAAAAATGTAACTGAAAATTGTTTAATCATTTTAGAACAGTTAAAATACAATATAAGATTGGTATCTTGGTGTCTGAAAGCAATCATTTTATCATCTATATTTTATAATCTTAATTTCATTTAGGGTTGATGGCTAATTAGAAAACGGAGTTTTAATCAAAGTTGTTTTCAAACATTGTCATAATGTCACTTTGAAGAGTCATATCAATGGTACCAGCCATCTGTAGAAAAGGGGAAATTTTAAAACAAATGTTACTTAATAAATTTATGCCTTAATTATCTATATAAAAATTATTATGCAATACTTAGAATGGATCATAAAAAATGAACAAAATTTACTTAACATAAGTTCATAATTTATTTCTGTTCAAATACAACCTGATTTTTCTTAAAATACTTTTTGTGTGGTAAATAAAAACTAAAATCTATAAGAACAAGTTTGACTTCTGTCTCTAGGTAAGAAAACTCTCAATATTGACTGAGTGGGTATTAAGGAGAACATGAATGAACATGACCATGAATGAACAGTCATTCCACTCTTAGGTTATATCCAAGAGATATGAAAGCATATGTCTGCACAAAAAAGGCTAGTAAAGGGAAAACCCGTATTTGAACCCAGGCACTCTAGTAGCTCCAGGGTTGATGCTGTATTACCTATTACACTATGCTTGCTTCTTTTAACTACATCAAATTTTTATTTGGGGCTCTGATTTTAGAACCTGATCCTCACTAAAAAGGTAACTACATCATTACTGAAAAACTATGCTGAACGCATATTTGAACACATAAAAAATACCGCTCTGTTAAATCTTTCCTTTGTTAAAGTTAGATGTAGTAAACTAAAGTTCACTTACTGCTTCTCTCCTCCTCCGCTCTTGCTCTCTCTCCCTTGCTAAATTACGGTCTTTGAGAAGCCAGAGTTTGCATTTATCTTGAGTTTCCAATGACTGCTGATGTTCTTTCTGCTCTTCTCCATGGCATTTGTTTTCCATTTTATTTGAAAAAGATTCTAGAGTCAAGCCGTTACCAATGTCCCTTAAAGATACAAAGCACAAAGTCCATGGAAAACACAGACAAAACTAATGGAAATATAGCCAAAATCAAGGAAGACATATACAAAGCAATAAAAGAATTCAGGAAAATAATGAAAGAAAAAAACATCAAAATAAATAATTAGAAATCATACAACTAGAAATTCAAAAGATAAACAATAAAATTTCAGAAATGGACAACTCAATAGGAGGTCTCAGGAGCAATTTTGAAACAATGGAAGACAGAATCAGTGAAATTGAAGACAAAATCATGGATGCTACTTTGAGGAAAAATCAGAGAGAAGAATAAACAAAAATGAAGAAAACCTAAGAACTATGTGGGACACAATCAAGAGCATGTATTTGTGTGATATCAGGTATCCAAAACGGGGAAAAAATGGAAAACACAGAGAAGATTGTTGAAGATTTGCTGGCACGAAACTGCCCAAATATCCTGAAAGACGAAAAGCTGACCATCCAAGAAGCTCACTGAACTTCATGTATTATAGACCCTAAAGACAGTCACCAAGACATATCATGACACTTGCAAAACCAAAGACAAAGAAAGAACCCTGAGAGCAGCTCGAGAAAAATGAAAAGTCACTTACAAAGGGGGAACAATAAAACTAAGCTCTGATTACTCAGTGGAAACAGGTAAAGAGGCAATGGGATGACACATAAAACCTTGAAAGAAGAAACTGCCAACCAAGAATAATATATCCTGCAAAACTCTCTCTCAAATACGATGGCAAAATTAGGACATTTCCAGATAAACAGAAATTAAGGGAACTCATAAAGACCAAACTTAGAAGTAATATTAAAGAGAGTCCTTTGGTTACAGACCAACAAAAACCAGAGGCTAGGACATAGGACAGCATCAGCCAGATACCAACCTAGGTAAAGAACTCTCAGTAATAAAACAAAACTAAAAACTTGAAGCAAGGAAACAGAGACGTCAATCTGTAAACGACAACAATGTTAAAACAATAAAAGTGGGAATAAACAGTGTAGGTATAGAACTTCCAAATGAAGAGTAAGTCAAGGTGATATCAAGTAGTAAACAACTGGTTCAAACTTAGGAAGATAAGAGTAAATTTCAAGGCAACCACAAAGAAAGTTAACAAACCTACTCATTAGAATAAAAAAGCAGAAAAACATAAGTCTTAGTAAACACAAAATCTATAATAACAAAAGAAAAGAAAATCACAAACAGAAGGAGCTTAGTACAGGAAAGTAAAAGAAACAAAATGTCAGCACAACAAAAGAAAAGGAAAAGGCACAACAATATGACAGCAATGAAGTCATATCTATCGATAATCACACCGAATGTAAATGTATTAAATGCACCAGTGAAGAAATAGAGAGTGGCACAATGGATTAAAAAAGTACAAGTCATCGATATGCTATCTACAAGAGACTTTAGACACAAAGACATAAATATATTAAAAATCAAAGGATGGACAAAATATCTCAAGCAAACAGTAACCAAAAAAGGGCAGAAGTGGCAATACTAATCTCAGATAAGGCAAAATCAGCCATTAAAGACAAAGAAGGACATTATACAATGAACAAAGGGACAATCTACCAAGAAGATATAACCTTAATCAATATCTATGCACCCAACAACAGGGTTCCAAAATACATACAACAAACTCTAACAGCACTGAAAAGAGAAACAGACAGTTCCACAATAATAGTAGGAGACTTCAACACACCACTCTCGGTAAAGGACAGAACATCTAGAAAGGAACTGAACAAAGATATAGAAGATCTAAAAGCCAAAGTCAACCAACCTAACCTCACAGAAATATATAGAATACTCCACCCATTCTATATATTTGGTTATAATGCATTAAAGTATATATTCTTTTCCAATGCACATGGAACATTCTCCAGAATAAATCACAATTTAGGCCACAAAGCAACCCTAATAAAATCCAAAACACAGCCTCTCTGATCATAATGTCATAAAAGTAGAAATCAATAACAGGAAGAGCAAGGAAAACAAATCAATTATATGGAAACTGAGTAACACCTTGCTTAAAAACCACTGGGTAACAGAAGAAATCAAAGAGGGAATAAAAAAATTCCTAGAATCAAATGATAATGAAAACACATCATACTAAAACCTTTGGGACGCAGCAAAGGCAGTGCTCAGAGGTTGATTTATAGAAATAAACACACACATCAAAAAGAACAGGCCAAAATCAAAATGTTAGCCCTAAAAATTGAACAAATACAAAGAGAACAGCAAAAGAAGCCCACAGCTACCAGAAGAAAGGAAATAATAAAGATGAGAGCAGAAATAAATGAAACAGAGACAGAAAAATAGAAAGAATCAACAAAACCAAAAGTTGGTTCTTGAAAAGATCAACAAAGTTGACAAACCACTGACCAACTGATAGAAGAAAAAGAGGAGAGGAAGCAAATAACCCAAATAAGAAATGAGACAGAGGACATTACAACAGTGCTAACTGAAATAAAAAGGATCATAACAGAATACTTTAAAAAACTGTACTCCAAAAAATCTGAGAACCTAGAGGAAATGGACGAATTTCTAGAAACACATTACCTACCTAAAGTAACACAATCTGAGATAGAAAATCTGAGCAGACCCATAACAAGAGAAGAGATTGAAGAGGTAATAAAAAAAACTCCCCCCCCCCAAAAAAAAATGCTGGCCTGGTCGGCTTCACAGGATAATTCTACCAATCATTCAGAGAAGGGCTCACACCAGTATTGCTGAAACTATTTCAGAGCACAGAAGCAGAAGGAATACTCCCAAATTCACTCTATGAAGCCAGCATAACCCTGATACCAAAGCCAGGCAAAGATGCCAAAAAAAAAAAGAAAATTACAGACCAATATCTCTCATGAATATAGATGCAAAAAAATCTCAACAAAATTCTAGCCAACAGAATTCAGCATCATATCATAAAAATAATACACCATGACCAAGTGGGCTTCATACTAGGTATGTAAGAATGGTTCAACATTAGAAAATCAATATAATCCACCACATAAATAGGAAAAAAGAGAAAAATCACCTAATCATCTTAATTGATGCAGAAAAGGCATTTGATAAAGTCCAAGACTTTTTCCTGATAAAAAAGTCTCAATAAAATAGGAATAGAAGGGAAATACCTCAACACAATAAAAGGCAGCTATACAAAACCAACAACAAACATCATTCTAAATGGAGAGAGGCTGAAAGCATTCCCTCTGAGAACAGGAACAAGACTAGGATGCCCTTTATCACCACTCCTATTTAACAGGTGCTGGAGGTCCTAGCTAGAGCAATAAGGCAAGAAAAAGAAATAAAGAGTATCCAAATTGGAAAGGAAGAAGTAAAACTATTCTTATTTGCAGATGATATGATCCTATACATAGAGAACCCCAAAGATTCCACAAGAAATCTACTGGAACTAATAGAAAGATTCAGCACAGTAGCAGAATACAAGATCAACATACAAAAATCAGTTGGATTCCTATACATCAACAAAGAGAACTTCAAAAAGGAAATTAGGAAAACAATACCATTGCTAATGGCCTCTAAAAAGATAAAATACTTAGGAATAAATCTATCCAGGGACGTAAAAGTCTTATACAAAGAAAACTACAAAATACTACCGGAAGAAACCAAAAGAGACCTACATAAATGGACAAATATACCATGCTCAAGAACAGGAAGACTCAACATTGAGAAAATGTCAGTACTACCCAAAGTGATCTACAGATATAATACAATCCTGATCCAAATACCAACGGCACTCCTTAACAAGATGTTAAAACTAATCACCAACTGTATATGGAAAGGAAAGAGGCTCCAGATAAACAAAGCATTACTGAAGAAAAAGAACAAAATAGGCCTCACATTACCTCATCTCAGAATCTACAATACAGCCACGGTAGTCAAAACTGCTTGGTACTTGTACAACGACAGACACATATACCAATGGAACAGAATCCAGAACCCAGATGTAAATCTATGCACCTATGGTCAATATCCATGGAGGCAGCAGTCAAGAAATCAAAAGACGCATTGCATTGGGCAAATCTGCTGCAAAAGACCTCTTTAAAGTGTTGAAAAGCAAAGATGTCACCTTGAGGACTAAGGTGCGCCTGACCCAAGC